ACTATCTCACCGGTCAGAAGTTGGGTGAAATTCCCCGAAAACGGTATAACTCAGTGACAAGTGGTAAATGGTATCATAGTTCATTCTTTACGTTTACTTTTTAGTAACTAAAATAACAAAGAAAAACTCTACAGGCGAATGTTTAAAGCGCCACACACATGGAAACGACTGATCACAAACGTATTTTCTTGTTTCGTTTATTTTGTTGTCTGATCTTATTTAACATCATTTCTCGTAGTATATTAAGATCTTTTTTTTTTCCGTAACAAATATCGTGAACAATTTATACTTATCGGAAATAGGCGGTTTATAAGCTATCTAACCTTTAATAGATAATGCCATAGCCCTTAATTGATAATGTCATAGCTGTTCCAGCTATGCATTTCGCTCTTCTATAACTAGTTTAGAATATATCTTTCTTCAGGTGTACTCGCGTAATTTTTCTCAATTTTTGTGCAGATGTTCTCATTTATTGGCTGTTCGAAGGTCATAAACACATACAAACCTTTTTTTCTCAGATAAATAATACATATGGCAACAGATAGAAACACTAATCACTTTGGCTCTGTGCCTGTTCCCCCTAGGTAGGGCGAGTCCATCTCATGGAGAGACACAGATACTTGTACAAATTAGTATGAGTTAAGGTTTTACTCCCCTGTAGACTAGCATAATGCAACGTTGAATTCTGGTATACCGCTATTTAACGTTATCATCTCATTTTGGTGCTGTAAATTAAAATTTCTCTTGTTTTTGCCCAGTGCTGGTGTGTAAGGGAATTATTTTTTTGTTTTTGTCGTAAGTGGACAAAAGATTCCTCTTCACCTCAGCAGCAAGTTTAAAGTCAACAGAAAGTGTTACAAACATAAAGTTGGGAAAGAAGATTTTGTTTTTCACTCTGTGCGTGTTTAAATTATCTTCTGCTGTACATTTCCTTCTTGTATATACTTTTGAATCAGTGTGCCTGAATACAACAATCAAACCTGGTGTCGCCTCTGCGGTTTATATATAAAACGAAACTAAGGGTGACTGCTAAACTGATACCTACGAACTAGTGAATGTCTTCTGATGTAATAAAAACGAATGTCCTTGTTAATGATGATGCAGGTTTATGAAACCGCCATTACTTCAACTGCAACTAATCTTACCCGAAATGTCAACCTGAACGACGCCTAACACATACACACATCCGGGTTAAAGACACCAACGTTTCAGGTATAGCCGTTCCTAATTTTGCACTACTGACCAGAAGCACTAACCGCCCAGGACAAACAGTTTGTTCGGACTTTTGAACGAAATAAAGAGTAATGATTGTTTTGAGGTATCATGTCTCGAACACCGGACCTTCGGTGTGCAGTCCGTTACGTAAACTACCTGACTACCCCTGACCCTGAATAAATAATAAAGAACCTAAAAATTATGCTATAATTATTAACATTTCATTTCAATTCCATATTTTTGATGTTTCTTGGCAGTAACAGACATTGTATCAATATGTATACTATATATATGTTAATACAATTAATAATTCACTTATTGGTTCTTATCTGAAACATACAAGCTTATAAACTTAAATCTATAGAATCCGGGGTTAAATTCCTCACGGTGGACAGAACGTAGAGAGTCCATTGTGTAGCTTTTCGATAAAACAGACCAAATTAAATTACATTCAACTGTGGTGTACTCACTGTACTTACTAAATACGCTACTAGATGGCGCAACAAACTCGATAATGTGTGTGTGTGTGTGTTATGGATTTCGCGCAAAGCTACACAAGGGCTATCTGCGCTAGCCGTTCCTAATTTAGCAGTGTAAGACTAGAGGGAAGACAG